AACACCTGAAATGGGTCGAACCACTAGAAATGATTATCGATATTCGATATGATGTATAAGAAAATGATTTCAGAAACATGCTGTGTTAAAGTTAAAGAGTCATGAGGTTATTCCACAGGTTCGAATATAATACGCACTTACCTTGGGTTATATCACATGGGTGTTGGTAATATAGCATGCGTTGTTTGGTTTAATTTAAATAACACTGTGGAACTCATTTCCTGTTTAGAGAACCCAAATGTTATCTAAAATTATGTTACTCAAAAAGGGATTTTGACTGGATTCATTTTTTATCAAAGAACAAACAGAAAACTCAACAACAACTAAAAACCAAATAAAAAAACCCTAAAAACCCCCAAAAGAACCCCCAAAAATCGAGTGTATCAATTTCTTTCAAATTGCAATTTTTATTAAGTCTTCAGCAGTCTCTTAAATATAAATTTAATAAGAAACTCCAACTTCGTATTGACTTATTTTTAGAAGTAATAACTTCAATGGAATAGTGTAGTGTTGAGAAAGAACCTGACAAATTCAGGCCCTAGCAGAGGCTGGGTTAGTTTTGGACGGGAACACAGATTGGGTACAAGAACTGAATTGGGGAAGAGATGAGGGCTCAGTGACCCGGTCACCGCGTCACAGGAAGGTGGTTTCAGAGTCAGAGAGATCCTCAAAGCGATCGTAGCCCTACGTCGTTCGTAAGCGTGCTTCATTTAGGGATTTACATTACCGTTAGGGCTGGGCGGAAGGGAAAGTAATATGTTCAGGGAGTGAAAGACAGACTAATTGTCAGGGAAAGAGAGGCTTTCGGGCTGGGTTGGGCACCGAGACAACATCATTTCAAGAGAGGCAATTGAGGGCAAGGGATATAGCAAAATGTTCATGGATAAAGAAACACTGAGCTGGTTCCGGGAAAGTGGGAACCGTCCATGAAATACAGTCCTTGACAATATCTGTAGAACACAGTCCAAGGCAACATCCACGATACAAAGTCCAAGACAACATTCGTGAGACACAGTCCAAGGCAACATGCAGGAGACACAATCTAAGACAACATTCATGAGACACGATCCAATACAACATCCATGAGACACGGTCCAAGACAAAGCCAATGAGACACTGTTTCAGACAATATCCATGAAACACTGAGACAATATCCATGAGACACAGTCTGAGAGACAACATCCATGAGACACAGTCCAAGACAGCAACCACGAGACACAGTCCAAGACAACATCCACGATGAACAGTCCAAGGCAGCAACCACGAGACACAGTCCAAGACAACATCCACGATGAACAGTCCAAGGCAGCAACCACGAGACACAGTCCAAGACAACATCCACGATGAACAGTCCAAGGCAGCAACCACGAGACACAGTCCAAGACAACATCCAGGAGACACTGTCCAAGACAACATCCATGAGTCACGGTCTGAGACAACATTCATGAGACACTGTTTGAGGCAATATCCATGAGACACAGTCCAAGACAAAGTCAATGAGACACGATCCAATACAACATCCATGAGACACGATCCAAGACAAAGCCAATGGGACACTGTTTCAGACAATATCCATGAAACACTGAGACAATATCCATGAGACACAGTCTGAGAGACAACATCCATGAGACACAGTCCAAGACAGCAACCACGAGACACAGTCCAAGACAACATCCACGATGCACAGTCCAAGACAGCAACCACGAGACACAGTCCAAGACAACATCCACGATGCACAGTCCAAGACAACATCCATGAGTCACGGTCTGAGACAACATTCATGAGACACTGTTTGAGGCAGTATCCATGAGACACAGTCCAAGACAAAGTCAATGAGACACGATCCAATACAACATTCATGAGACACGATCCAAGACAAAGCCAATGAGACACTGTTTCAGACAATATCCATGAAACACTGAGGCAATATCCATGAGACACAGTCTGAGAGACAACATCCATGAGACACAGTCCAAGACAAAGTCAATGAGACACGATCCAATACAACATCCATGAGACACGGTCCAAGACAAAGCCAATGAGACACTGTTTGAGACAATATCCATGAGACACCATCCAAGACAACATCCATGAGACACGGTCCAAGACAACATCCATGAGACAATGTTTGAGACAACATCCATGAAACACGGCCTGAGAGACAACATCCATGAGACACGGACCAAGACAACACCCGTGAGACACGGTCCAGACAACATCCATGAGACACGGTCCAAGATCCATGAGACATCCAAGACAGATCCGTTACACGGTCCAAGACAACATCCATGAGACACGGTCCAAGACAACATCCGTTAAACACGGTCCAAGACAACATCCATGAGACACGGACCAAGACAATGATCCGGTCCAACACGGACACGGACCAAGACAACATCCATGAGACACGGTCCAAGACAAGATCCATGAGACACGGTCCAAGACAACATCCATGAAACACGGACCAAGACAACATCCATGAGACACGGTCCAAGACAACATCCATGAGACACGGTCCAAGACAACATCCATTAAACACGGTCCAGAGACAACATCCACAGTGAAACATCCACCAAGACAACATCCATGAGATCCATGAAACGGTCCAAGACAACATCAATGAGACACGGTCCAAGACAACATCCATGAGACACGGTCCAAGACAACATCCATGAGACACGGTCCAAGGCAAAGTCAATGAGACACGGTCCAAGGCAAAGTCAATGAGACCTTCTTTGAGACAACATTCATGAGCCACTGTTTGAGACAACATCCACGAAACACAGTCCAAGACAACATCCATGAGACAATGTTTGAGACAACATCCATGAAACACAGTCCAAGACAACATCCATGAGACACGGACCAAGACAACATCCGTAAAACACGGTCCAAGACAACATCCATGAGACACGGTCCAAGACAAAGTCAATGAGACCTTCTTTGAGACAACATCCATGAGCCACTGTTTGAGACAACATCCACGAAACACAGTCCAAGACAACATCCATGAGACAATGTTTGAGACAACATCCATGAAACACGGCCTGAGAGACAACATCCATGAGACACGGTCCAAGGCAACATCCATGAGACACGGTCCAAGGCAAAGTCAATGAGACCTTCTTTGAGACAACATCCATGAGCCACTGTTTGAGACAACATCCACGAAACACAGTCCAAGACAACATCCATGAGACAATGTTTGAGACAACATCCATGAAACACGGCCTGAGAGACAACATCCATGAAACACGGACCAAGACAACATCCATGAGACACGGTCCAAGGCAAAGTCAATGAGACCTTCTTTGAGACAACATCCATGAGACACTGTTTGAGACAACATCCACGAAACACAGTCCAAGACAACATCCATGAGACACGGACCAAGACAACATCCGTAAAACACGGTCCAAGACAACATCCATGAGACACGGTCCAAGACAACATCCATGAGACACGGTCCAAGACAACATCCATGAGACACGGACCAAGACAACATCCATGAGACACGGTCCAAGGCAAAGTGAATGAGACCTTCTTTGAGACAACATCCATGAGCCACTGTTTGAGACAACATCCACGAAACACAGTCCAAGACAACATCCATGAGACAATGTTTGAGACAACATCCATGAAACACAGTCCAAGACAACATCCATGAAACACGGACCAAGACAACATCCGTAAAACACGGTCCAAGACAACATCCATGAGACACGGTCCAAGACAAAGTCAATGAGACCTTCTTTGAGACAACATCCATGAGCCACTGTTTGAGACAACATCCACGAAACACAGTCCAAGACAACATCCATGAGACAATGTTTGAGACAACATCCATGAAACACGGCCTGAGAGACAACATCCATGAGACACGGTCCAAGGCAAAGTCAATGAGACCTTCTTTGAGACAACATCCATGAGCCACTGTTTGAGACAACATCCACGAAACACAGTCCAAGACAACATCCATGAGACAATGTTTGAGACAACATCCATGAAACACGGCCTGAGAGACAACATCCATGAAACACGGACCAAGACAACATCCATGAGACACGGTCCAAGGCAAAGTCAATGAGACCTTCTTTGAGACAACATCCATGAGACACTGTTTGAGACAACATCCACGAAACACAGTCCAAGACAACATCCATGAGACAATGTTTGAGACAACATTCATGAAACACGGCCTGAGAGACAACATCCATGAGACACGGTCCAAGACAACATCCATGAGACACTGTTTGAGACAATATCCGTGAGACACTGTTTGAGACAACATCCATGAGACACAGTCTGTCATAACTTGATGCAGATAATCGTACCGCTTTTACGAGAAATGTGTAGAGAATGTCCAGATTCAGTTCTTTTAACAGAGCATATAGTTGTACATGTAGAAAGCAGTTTGTTATCTGCTTTTGTTCAGCACTTTTCCATGAAAAATCAAAAATGTTTTATGCACCATTCAGGTGTTCCAGTTAAACTCATAAGACATAAAAAATGTCAAAAACTCAAGGATACGTAGTTGAAATTACAATATTATACAATGGGTGTATAAAATATATATAAAGCTCAAGAAGTATTAATAATTTAGTTTATATGTTCAAACAAGTGTATAGCGTGTCAGCTTCAAGTAGCTATTCACGAAAGTGTTCAGTACTATGAAAACGCACAGAATACTAGTATATTTATTCTGAATTTTAGCGACGATAATCAATGCTATGTCACTTAAAATTATGATATGAAAGTGATTATCAAATGTGAGGCTCAATAGATGCACTGCTAAAATGAGTGTCACTCGTACGCCAAGTTCATCACATTTTATTGTGGCCAACCACGCAAAAAATAACTCAACAACTCTAAACGTAAACACATCATCAGCTGTCAGTCAAGCGTGACACGAGCAACAGAAAGGTCGCGATGACCACAAAATGCCAAGGTTCTGCTGGGATATCCACCAGCCTCGTTCTCATTTCACCGTGACGTCACACTTCGTCTTTGTCGGGAGAAATTCCCCACATATCGAGAGATTCCCCAGCCTGAAATGGTGTATATTTCACGAAATCCTTGTGTTTAGGACAAGATGTGGTAACGTACGATATTTAGACATTATTATCATGGTAACTACCTGACAGACAAGCTCGGCCAAGGCGGATTTAGCCCTGAGCTGAGTGGAAAATCTCGGGGATGCCACGTAGGAAATCAACAACTCTGTCCGCCTCGCCTCTCAAACGTAAGTAGGCCTAATGTTTTATGATAATTTTTGAAACCGAGCTTGGCAAATAACGTTGCTGTCATGCATGTGTCTATATATCCTTGCTTTTGAAGTACATGTAGTCTGATATTACACACGAGGGGTGGGAGGGTTATCTTTTTCACCTCGTTTTGGGGAAACACCTCCAATATTCGACAGGGGTTACCCTTATTAGTTATGCATTCGCCCGCAACATCCGTTGGCTAATTCAGTAAAATGGCTTTACTAACAGCTTTGAATCTTAACGTGTGTGTAATGTTCGTATCTCTTTGAATGTAAACGTGTGTTCAGTGTCAACAAGCTTTAACTTATGACACATATTCAGCGAAAACATTGCTGTTGCGAGGTGGTAATGGCGTTCTAGATGGAAGAGTCGACATAGCAACGTCGAGGGTGAGCGGGTTTCATGTGGCTCGTGGATCTATAAATAGCAGAGACAAGCATTCCTGCACAGGTTGTCGCGGGGTGTTCCGCCGAGGTCGCAGCACGAAAACAACATATTTATAGACTGCTGAATAGTGGGTAATGGGTCCGCGTTTCGTAAAATCAGCTTAATGTACAACGGTGATATCAAACCTGAAAGTAGGACATGAAAATCTTAATTGTTAATCTTGACTTAACGTTAATGAGCAGTTTCCAGTGATCAGAAAGGCTAATCGTATGCTTTAAACCGGAATAAGATTGAATATTATCACAAAACGATGAGAGAATCTATACCTTTATGGAAAATAATGCAATAAGGAAGTTTTTTGTGAGATTTAACTTATGGAAAACATCTAAATGCAGACATGAACAACGGTATGAAACACTCCCAATATTTAGAATAGGATATTGTAATTTTATGCAAACAAGGAGACACCGAACGATCTCGTGTTAGCTCTTTCAAGCTAACATGGTAAAAGGCGACAAACGGGATCGGGTGGTCAGGCTCGCTGACTTGGTTGAGTGCGGCGTAAAACTATATTTACTCACTCTCTCACTCAAGCTAACACAGAAGTTTCATTTCTTCTAAATGAGTGAGTTGCGTTTTACGCCGCTTTTAGCAGTATTCCAACAATATCACAGCGGAGTTTACCCAGGAGGGGTTTCACGGTCCACACATTACAACCATGTGGGGAATCAAACCCGGGACTCTTGACATGGTTGTTCACTGGGAACCCAAGACCATTTATTTGATGTTCAAGACGGCACTCAGCAATATTCCAGCTGTATGGCGGCGGTCAGTAAATAATAAAGTCTAGACCAGACAATCCAGTGGTCAACATCATGAGCATCGATATACGTAGTAAGAATCACAGGGGCGTGTCACGCTTAGAAACGGCGTTAGAAAGACATATAGGTATATAGATCCTACCCTAGTACTATATAAAAGGATATAAGGCGTGTCACGCTTAGAAACAGCGTTAGAAAGACATATAGGTATATAGATCCTACCCTAGTACTATATAAAATGATATATAGTACTAGGGTAGGGTCTATATACCTATATGTCTTTCTAACGCTGTTTCTAAGCGTGACACGCCATAGTACTAGGGTAGGATCTATATACCTATATGTCTTTCTAACGCTGTTTCTAAGCGTGACACGCCCCTGTGGTAAGAATAGGATGACATGTGTCAACCAAGTCAGCGAGCCTGACCACCCGATCCCGTTAGTCGCCTCATACGACAAGCATGTGTTGCTGAAGGTCAGTTCTAAGCCGGATCTTCACGGGTACCCAAGACCGAAATGAAATTTAATCTACTGTATACTGATTACTGAAGTCCACACTCTATGCTATTTATCGACTTACTGACTGAATGTTTGCCGTTACGTAACACCATCACTCATTGTCATGATTATAAGAGAAATCAAATTATATTGTATCTATTTATGCGCAAAGTTAACGGCTGTCAGGACCAGTTTATATGATTTGAGGATCTTGACAAGACGTATTCAAATATGAAGTCAACATAGCATGTAGCTTGGGTTTATAAGCACAAGACCTTTCGAAGAGTGCACGTGAGCAAGTTTGATATTTAGTAATGTTGATTAAATAACGTTTATTTAAATGTAAGTATATTAAATATCCCAAAAGCCTAAATCCAATGTATTTTATTGGTGGCGCAGTGGTCCACTCATAAGAGCGCTCTCTCATCACGTCGAAGCACCGGGTTCGATTCCACAGGTTTCATTCCTCGCATGGGTACAATGTATGAAACCTTTTTCGGTTTCCCCTGTCGTGATGTTGCTATAACGACAGAGGAATCTAGCTTTGGCACTCGGTATTACGCCTATTTTACTCGGCCACTGAGTTCTGCTGTTACAGTATGCTGTAACATTGGTTGGTTGGTTTGTTGTTTAACGCCGCGGACCAGACAGTCCGGTGATAGACAGCATGATCATTGATTTAAGCAGTTGGGATACGACGACATGTGTGAGCCAGGTCAGCGACCCTGACAACCCGATCCCGTTAGTCGCCTCTTACGACAAACATGGGTTGTTGAAGACCAATTCTAACCCGGACCTTAACGGGTCCATTAGACTAAGGCTTAGTCTCTGAATATATATAATTTTGATAGTATAATAAGCCCATTCATATTGAAAAGGAGCCCTAGGGAGACAGAGATTCAGAACCTGAACCTGAGGAAATCTAGACTTGCTTTATTTAGGGCTTTAGCACTGCAGAGAGGGCTTGGCAGTAGGGAAATTAATGTGGTTCAGGGACTGTGAGACAGACTACGGGTCCATGGAGATTGGAGGTTCACAGGTCGCCGGTGTATAAGAACAGCCAACGACCATGACTGAAAACGTCATTAAACAACAAGCAAACAAAATAAAAGCCGGTCTATAATGACTATCGGGCGGCTGTAATGGTTGATGTTGCCATGCAATACGACTTGGGACGTCGGTCGTGCTGTCGAGCACTTGTTTGTCCTGCATGACTGTTATAAACAGACTGGATTCAGTATTAATCAGCGCGGATAGAGAAACTTACGCCATCGAGTTTACATACACGTAGCCGTTACATTTAATTAAAGTCTCAGCATATTTACGTAAACGGAAACAATTTGTAATGTCATTATTTGCGGCGATACTCTTCAGCTTGAATACATCAGATATTACACGTGTAAATCGATATGCATTAGCAGAGTCATCCGAATGATTCTCCTGATTTTGTTTTTCAACATATCATTGATAAACTGTGTACAGTACACAACAATGTGCACTTAAAACAACCCACGAATCCGTTGGTATATGACCAGATGGTGGCCACGTGAATACGTGCAAAACCCTAGTTGCGGGTACAGCAACGTGCAGTAAACACTTGGACAAAGTACTGTGACTATGTGTCCCAGTCCACCCAGCTGTGAATGGGTAACCTCGAAAGGATGGGAAAGCCGCGATAATTCGGTGTGCCTTGTGGCTGCAAGAGTTGTATTATCCCCAGAGAGTTGAGATTGATAATACGATGTGCCGTTGAGATTGACATCCAGTGATCGAGGGAAAAAATACCAGCGCCTTGAGCATGTACTTAAGTATTTAGTTGCGTGGATATGTGCGCTATATACGTATCGTATCCTATCTTAAATGGATTGTACGTCCTCGTCGTAACGTTCATGTCGGAAAGAGGACAAACTGTTCGAAATGAACAATGTAATACTGCTTGTTTTCGTGTAGAGGACACGGGTAGTGCAGTCGCCTTAGGCACCGCAAATAGCTGTGCAGAGTTGTGTCCCTTTGGCTTACCAGGAACCTGTGATAGTGTGTTCAAGTGGGCCGGTTATATTTCTAGGTTTATCAGAACCATACCTGTGCGCGCTTCACCTAAAGGGTAAACGTCTTAGATGTGCATCACTTAGGGCTTCCCTCTAACATTAGTTGACTTTTGACACGCGATGATACAACTGGACCTATGTTCAAAATAGTAATAAACTGAATTCACCCACTTTTGGTGGGTCATGTGTGTCTGTTAGTAATGGATTATATACAGTTATCCGGCAAATTGAAATATATGAAAACAAGAACACTCAAATAATATTGCGTTGATGAAAATCACGTGTTTGTCATTGTAACGTTAAAAAATGTTTAGACTAGACGCAAAATATCATTTCCAGCTGTTTTCAATGCACTAAAAAACGCATATTTTACCCGTTTATTACATGTGTGTTCTTCGTATATGAATTTGTTTTCACATCGGTGTGATATTAATAATATGAATATTACTGACTGCCTCGCAGGTAGCGAAGAGCGATTGACGATTGCGAAATAGTTTGCAACAACTGTTGTACCCCCTCCACAAGAAATGAACTGGTCCGGCAAACTCCCACCTGGCAAGGACCCAAGTCTTCCAGTAGATTAACGTGACCTAAATTTGCGGGATTTCGATCGATTCCTTAGTTGAAACTGAGTTTGATGAATTTGCACAAACGTTACTGTTTTCAAAACACATATTTGATTAGACCATTGCTAAATTACATTGAATCGATGCCAAATTATTGTCGAATTTCATGAATCATAAAAACTGGGCAGTTGTTATTCATGATGTTTTCGCGGCGATCTCGGGACTGCCGGTTACGAGGTTCGAAAGGACACAGGTAAACGTGTGGTTGAATTAGCGGCGAATTCTTTCAAATATTTACCAACAAAATGACCAAGCGTCACCCTGTTTCATATGAGAATTGCTAATTAACACGCGGAGGAGCACAGTTGATGCGTATGTGTCATCGTTCAGTCGCAATCCGAGTGCAGTGTCTGCTGTAAATGAGACTGACCCCATTCGAGCGCTGGGAAACTCAAGTTGTGACGTCATTGTTGCCTTGGTAGCGGTGTCACATGGGTGTTTCCCCATGAAATGATTTACAAGAGGAAGATGTTTCAAATCAATGTTTTTCAGTGTTGTTTAACATATGTCGACGGTTAACACAAGCATCATTCATAACACAAAACTTATAGAACAATCTTTGAAGTGAACTTGAATGCGTAAAGATTTTTTGTGA